CCAAAAGGCGCAACGTAAGATTAAAAACAATTTCCTGCCAGGGGGTAGCATCTCAATTTGCTGGCTTCCTCCTCCGGTGGCACTCTTCGTGCCCCCAAACCAAGCCAACACAACCTGCGAAACCCAACCAGAACCCAGAATACAGTACACAGAACCCAGAATACAGAACCCAGAACACAGAACACAGAATACAGAACACAGAATACAGAAGCCGGCAAACCAGCGATTCGTAGACCCGCAAAATGCACTCGACGAAGCCTCATAAATACCGAATTAGTTGGTAATTCTATAAGCAACACGCGCCCATTGATGACGACGACTGCCGATGGAGATGGATTGCCATTGCTATTCCAATTCCTATTCCTATTCCTATTCCTATTCCTATATATACCTATGCCTATTCCTCTTGCTGAGTTCTCTGAAATGGGAGAGAAGAGAAAAGAAATGGCTGTGGAGGTAGAAAATGGGTCGCGTGTCTCGCCAGATAACACACGAATTGGAATTGGAATTCGAATTGAGGCGGTACGAAAACAAGGGGGCCATTTGAGAAGTTTGGGAACCGATGGATCGCCCAGATACGATGGGCGATGGCTCTCCGTTTCCAAAATCTGATTGAGCCGCAGCACGTGCCTCCAGCTGGTGCGACAATTAGCCGCAAATGGCAAATGAATTTCCCAGTTCCCAGCTTCCAGTTTTCATTAGCATAATTAATCGCAAATAACATGCGGCAGCGGTCGACGAAGATTAACTTTGAAGTGTGCTCATTAAAAAGAAAATCGTATTTCTATCGGTATTTATGCTGGGGAAAATAAGAGCTATTTGACTTCTTATAGCTTTATTTTATAACAAAATTTTAAAAATTAATATGTATATTGAAAGCAGAAATGGTATTAAATGGTACTTAAATTCGGAGCATTAATCGATATTAAAATAATTATTCTGAAAACATTATAGTTTTATATTATGTTTCTTTATATACAAATCTTTTGAGTTTTTATTCCCTATTTGGCTCTGTAAATAATTTAATAACTTTTGGCGTAGTAATAAGATAACAATTGAAATTAAATATAAAACCAAAGTGAATTTTATATGAATATCAAATTCTTGATTTATTGTTAAGATTTATTTTGGAAGTATATTAATAATAATGACGATTAATAAATACTTAAACTTTGCAAGATTGAAAGGTAGATATTTTAGAATTGCCCAGCCTTGTATTTTAAATTAGCCTTCCGATAAGAATGTATATATTATTTTTAGCCGTACCTTTTTCAACAAAAGTACTAGCAAAAACTACAAAGCTATGTGCAATTCATATTAATAAACCATTGGAAAACTGTCCGCAGGAAAGTAAGTTTTTTGTGGGTTCGCTGAACCCATTGAAAGCACTAAAAGCGAATACTCTTACCCCTTAATGTCCATTTCGTTGAGTGTATTCGTGGGCCGGGGCGTGGCAAGTTTTATGAGCCGAATTAATGGTTTATGATGATGATGGCTGACTCGACTCAACTCGACTCGACTCGACTTGCCTCGCCCGATTCGCTTTGGACTCGGACTTCAAATGGGAAATGGAATGGGAATTGGGAATGGGAGCTGGAGTTGCCACAATTGTTGTCAAGGCGCTGAAACGGTCGAAGGGCTTTATATATATATTTTTTTTGGGATCAAACCGATGGCTTGAGGCAGAGACGCGTGCCCCACGGCTGCCAATAAATGCGCAAATGCAAACAAACAACCGCAGCCACTGAAAAATCAGAAGCGATTGGCCCGGCTAACGCGGCTTTAAGCCGCCAACGAAAGGTTCTCTTAGCCGTTCGTTCCGAGGATCGGTTTCATTTCCCCTTCCCCTCCTGCCGAATTCCACGGACTAACCACAAACAAAGTTATTTATCCCAAGTATCTCAGGTGTGTATCGGGAGACCAGAGGACCGAGAACTATGAATCATCAAAGTTTAGAAACATAAATGGTTCTATCCTTTCTGATAAATTTCATTGAATTTTTTGAGAACAACTAGAGAGTAAAAAGATCTTAACATTAAGACCATTGAATAATATATGAATAATAAAAAACTTACATAGTAGTTGACAGTTCATTTAGATAAGTACGAGTTCTCACAATCCAAATACGTTTTGTAGTAATTACGAGCAACATTATGTATGGAATTTAGTTGTTTATAATGAGGTGTAATTTCCCAAAGAAAAAGTCTTCTATTCTTTATAAGGTTATTATTTATTTGCTGAAACCAAAGAAATGTTTGCCCTTACATTTGTTTAGAAATCCAAATTCCTTAAAAAAAGACCAACCAACCTGTAGAAATTTGCAAATAAATAAAAAGACGTGTTATGTTTTTTTTTCTTTATATATATATTATTCATCTGATCATATTTTTGTGAACTTTTTACAATTATTTTAGTTTTTCTTTCGGTTTTATAATTAAAAAAAAAAAAGAATTAACCAGTTTGCTTAAACGTTAGCATATAATTATATATAATATATATATAGGGATCATATATATAATTATATATGCTGTATATAGATCCGCTCTTAAATATTAATAACTAATTTTGTTTATCTTTCTTTTCCTTTCACATCATCTTACATAATTTTTCGCTTAAAATGTATCCCGCGGAAAAAAAATGTTCTTAGTTGTAGTGAATTAAATGCTAAATATTCTTCGATTTTCCTTACATGCGTTTTGCTTATGAGTGTGTGTTGGTGTATGTGTGTGTGTGTTTTTTTCTTGTTGTTCTTGTGTGTGTGTGATAGTGTTTTTTAAACAAATTGTTAAGCTTAAATTACAATTAAATTGAAATTAAAACTAAACAAAAAATTCCCGAAAAACTCCATTGAACTAACTTTTGTTTGTGTGTGTGTGTGTCTGCATCGTGTGTGTGTGTTTAATATTACAAAAGTTTTTCGTTATTTATTTATATATATTTATAAATCTTTTAGCGTACTTTATGAAGAACATTTACACACACACATGTATATCATTAATACATATATATATATATGTTGGTATATATATATATTTATATATTTACCAAGAATTTGTCATGTGTTTTTTTTTAGGTTTTTGTACATTTATTAAAAATTATGTTAAATTATTTTATAAATATTTTCTTGTTGTCGTTTTTTGTTTCGCTTTTGGATTGTGGCTTGTTTTTTATTTGCAATAAAATTTCCTATATATAATATATATATATCAATCAATCATCGTGTGTGGAGTTTTTATCATTTGTTTTGTTTTTTTTTTGTCATTTCGAGTCGCTTATTTGCTAAATACTTTCGCTTTTCCGCGGATTTCCTTAGTTGGACTTCCGCCTTTTTTGTTATACTTTATTATATGCTTTTAAAGTCTGAAATGTTAATTCGTTTTAGCTGATTTGGGTTTTGTATTCTCTATATATCTTTTATATGTTATGTATAAATATTCTCATTTTTAGTTTTGTTATATAAAGACGACAAAATGATGATTTGAACTTTAAACTTCTTTTTTTGCTTTTCTCGTTTTAGTAATGTTATGTCTTAGTTTGGTTTTTAAGAACTTGAAATTGGAATTAAGTTTTAGCTTTATGATATGCTGAGCTGGTCCAAACCACCCAGTGGTGGTGGTGGTGGTGGTGCAGCTCTGGATTTGTTTTGGAGATCCCCACACCCCCCTTTATTTTGTTTTTGTTTTTTTTTTTTTGTAGGGGATCCCCAAATCCCCTGGCTGAACCATGGAATGGTCTACGTATTGCATTTAAAAACTCTCCTCCGACTTACAAATAACGCCTTCTTTTTCGTACCCATTTTGCATGCATTTCTCCTTGGATTTTAACAAATGTGTTTTTTGTTTTTGTTTTATGGGGTTTTCCTTGTTTTATCACTCATTTTCTTCGTTGATCCTGGCGGCTTAAGCTAGGTCTATAATACCTACGTTTAGTTATAGATTTACGTTTATGTTTTGGGCTGTATAAACTTGTAACTCATTTTATTCGATTTCCGCTTTTTACACACGATTCTAGTTTAGGGGTTTACTATGTATATATGTAAAAAAAATTGTTGTTAACTACAAAAAAAAAAAAAGAAATATAGAACTCGCCCTGCAGGGTTCGTCTTTCTCGATCGTATTTGGTGGTTTGTTTCCGCTAAATTCGTACAATTTCAATATATTGGTTTTAAATTGTTTAAAATTTGGGAGTTTAAAAAGATTCTTCTTGAGTCTATAAAATTGCAACTGATTTAAATATTTGGTGGATAGTTTAGGGAAATATAATATTTCTTGTTGTATAAATTAAATTTTTTAAAGCCTATAAAATTGTTATCATGAACAATTGAACAAATAAAATACTTAATTTAAATAAATCCTTTGTTTTTGTGCAGAATGTGTAAAAGCTTTTTCAAATTTATAGGAGTCAAGAAGAATCTTTGAGATAATTTTTCGTGATCTAAAAATACTTTTTAGGATCTGTTTGAATCTTTGGAAATACTTTAGAATCGCAAGGGAACTTTCAGTGAACTTTAGAAGAATCTGTATAGATCCTTTTGTATTTAGCAGTATCCACTCCACCAATTACCACCTGGAAGACCTTGCATCCTGTGGCCAAAGTCCTTGAATATGTTGTTCTCAGAAAGCAGCCGAGTGTGTGTGGGGGCAAGTGGACCGTGCATGTGTGTGGCTACAAGTGTGTGTGTGTGTGGATATGTATCTAAGGGTCTCTTTTTTGGCCAACCACCTAACCAAAAGTGTGATCCAAATGCTGATCCTGTTGGTGTCGCAAGTCCTGCTGTTGTTGTTGCTGCTGCAGCTGTTGTTGCTGGAGTTGTTGGTGTTGCAGTTGATGGTGTTGCGGCTGCTGCTGCTGGTGATTCTGGTGGTGACTCTGATGGTGACTCTGATGGTGACTCTGATGGTGACTCTGATGGTGACTCTGATGGTGACTCTGTTGTTGATGATTCAGCTGGTTATGGCTCGACTCCAGCTGTGGGGAACTATTGCTCCCCGATCCAGAATGGGATCCCGAACCCGAACCCGAACCACTTGCACTGCCCCCGGCGGAGTTGCTGTTGTTACTGTTGTTGTTGTTGTTGCCACCGCTGCAGTACTGGAAGAGTAGATTCTACACCATGTTCGCGTACTTATCCTGCGGCGACATGTAATCGAGGCTATTCTGCGAGAACGCCTGCGCCGAAACAGTTCCCGTGAACGATGGCGACGGGGACAGGCCGAAGTTGGAGGCCGTATAGCCGGAGTGACCCATGTTGTAGTTGACCTGGTTCTGGTTGCTGAAGTACTCCATCTGCGAGTAGTAGCTGGGCGCCTGGGCGTAGTTGTTCGGATACTGCTGGTACTGGTTGTGCCAGAAGTTGTACGAGTCGTGATTGGACATGTAGGCCGCCGAATGGGCGGCCGAATGGTGGGCGGACTGGGCCGATTGGGCGGCATGTGCCGCTGCAGCCGCCGATTGCGGCGACATCGGTGTGATCGGCGGCGATGGCGTTGTGATGCTGCTGCTGCTGTCCATCGGCGTGATGTTGCCACCCGGTTGCAACAGTCGCGGATTGCTGCCCGCCGCCGATCCATAGATACTGTGATGATGATGCACCCCAGCGCCAATATCTCCACCGGCATCCTTTAACTGATCATAGGGGGATCGCAGCAGATCCTGTGACACGCCCACACCAACACCAACGCCTACGCCAACGCCCACTCCCAGATTCAGGCCACTGGAGGAGCCACCACCACCACCGCCGCCGCCGCCGCCACCACCACCCACACTGGAGCCGTAGCCGCCGGACAAGTGCTCCTTTTTGCAGACGATGCTCACCGGACTCACCGACGTGGCCGGCGTGGGCAAGAGGGGCGAGGAGTTCTGGTGGGCGGCGGTCACGTTCAAGGCAGCCGCTGCTGCTGCCGCCGATAAATGTCCGCCTGCTTGGCTGCCGCCGCCGCTGCTGCTGCTGTTTGGCGTAGAGTTGCCACCTTGTTGGTTGTTGCTATTACTGTTATTGTTGCCGGACTGATTTGTACCGCCGGCTGCTGCCGCCGCAGCGGCACTCAAAAAGGAACTGTGGTGCGTCTTGATCGATTGGGCCGCTGCCACCGCTGCCGCTGCACTTGCCGCTGCTGCCGCTGAATTGTTGTTGTTGTTGTTGTTGTTGTTGCCAGACGAGGATGATCCACCTTGGCTGGACTGTGAGTTGTTCTTGTTCTGGCTCGATTTGTTGTTGCTCTGCGAGCTGTTGTTGTTGCCGCTGCCATTGTTGTTGTTGCCGTTGTTGCTGCGACTGTTGGCAGAGGAGCTGCCGCAGCTGCCGCCGCCGCTGCCGCCGCTCGCGTTCTTCGAGCTGCTCAAGCTGTTCGACTGCTGCTGCTGCTGCAACTGCTGGCGGCACTTGGCGCGACGGTTCTTGAACCACACCTGCAAAATAAGATTCAAAATAAGTTGGGTTTAGAAGTCTAATGCAGAATTGGTAATCTGATTCTTAAATATACATATCTGTGACGATTTAATAATAATTATTAATATAAATTAATATGAAAAAATATTCACCAATTAAAAGTGCCTTTCATTTCTACATTTTCTACATTAGGAAAAGTACTTAATTATTATTTTCAATTATATTTGTATAACATTTCCCCAATTCTTCACCGATTCCTATTAAATCAAAACTGTCCCACTTTGCCCCACATAAAATAAAACCAACTTTAAATCTGCGCCCCCCACAAAGACGCGGTAAAATCAATCGTCCATAACCTGAATTTCGATATAACAAATTCGTGGCTATTCAAGCAAATTATGTGTCTACAGAACGCCGGAGCTCTTCCCCTCCCATCGAAAATTGAAAAACAAGGTAAAACCGCAAACGAACCAACGATTTAAAAAGAAAACGCTTTGAAGTTAGGGCCCACCCTGAAAAGTCCTTTGAAGTTCATTAGGAGGACAAATCGAATATCGCTCCTTAAACATTGCCAAATGTTGTCTAAATTTCTGCTAAAATTTGCAAAAATTCCCAAGCTTAGTGTTGTCAATATTATTATGAAATTTGCGAGCAGTTCATTAAACGGAATCAAAGGAAACTGGAGTAGGAAATCAGAGCGGGCGAAGTCAAATCACAAAAGGGGATTTACCGAATGCAAAATGGAATTGAAAATTGAAATTGAATTTCAAGTTTTTTAGAGGGGGAGTAGCAAGCAGCGTTGTGCTGACAAATAATGAAATTTGATACGCCTTGTTTAATGCTCTTTTTTACCCGGAGTCCCCCTTCTTTTTTTGGTCGGAAAGGTTCGTCCTCATACCCCACATCAAAATACAAAAAAAAAAAAAAAAATAAGAAGCGGCAATGAAATGCTCGAGTGGCCGCAGCCGCGTGGCAAGTGTTAACTTCCAAAAAAGAAGGGGGAGGGAAATTTTGGGAAAATGGTAAGGGAAATGGGAGGGCGGGTGACTGACTGGGGGACTGAAGCGGTAATAAATTCAGCTGTTTACCAAAGCACAAGCCATTAGCAAGCAACACCAACCCCAAACAACCAACAACAAATCACTGAAATAACATTTGCCATCCCGTCAAACTGCTCGACTGCTTTTTCTGCTTTTTCTTCTTGCTTTTCGACTGCTTGGCCAGCACTGCTTGGGCTTTGATTTCTGCGGAACAGGGTTGCCATACTTTTGCGGTATTGAAAATGTTTTTGAAACTGCTCCTTTAAGATGCGCTTCTTTTGATTTGTTGGCCTGGCGTACATTTTAACTGATCTGATTCTTTATTTAAAGAGCTTGTGACCTTATTGTAATTACTGATAGTTTGGCAGAGTTTCTGGGAATCGGAAATATTTAAAGACCAAAACTTCATAAACTTATCCTTCTTTTGGCTAGAAAAATCCTTATTCTAACTGAAAAATAGCTAAACCGGATGAACTGGCACTTAGCGGATTGTTTGCAGCCCCTTAAGCATAACAAACAAGGCTAAGTGAATTCCTTGCGCTCGAGTGTGCCGCTTTATGGGCTGTTTATTGTTGTCCTCCTGTTTTTCGGTCCAGAAGGGATGCGTTTTCCGCCAAAGGGGGCGGACGAGTGGGTGGTTATCGGTGGTTTTCCGGCCGTATTTGTGGGCGATGATTCCCGGGGAAAAGGGGAAAAGGGGGAGGGGCGAGATGGGCGGTGATTCCGTGTGACAATATAATCGAGTCAATTTTTTGGCCCTCGTCGCCGCCGGCGGCTGTTGATGTAACTTTTGCTCTCTCTATTTGCCAGCACAACAGCGCGTGACTTTTTGCACTTGTTGTGGGTCCAAAGATCCCATCCCCATTCCAGATAATGCCATCCCGTCCTATATATGTATATATTTCCACCCCGCAAGCGCCCCCGCATAATTTATTCATTGCTCGGCGGGCAAACTAATTGATGTGGGAAAATTGCAGCCGCTGGCCATTCGGCACACGCCCACTTTAACGCCTACTTTAACGCCCCCGCCTGACAAATAAACAAACAAGCGCAAACAGCCAGTAAAGTGAGAGACACTTGACGAAGGCAAACACTCGAGGCAAATTGCTGAGGCTGTGGGAAATTCCTTATTTCCGGTGCTTCACAAGATTCCCGAAATTTTCAAGATACATTTCCTAAGACAAAATGATGGGTGCATTTTTTTTTTTAACAATTTATAGAACACACTTTTCTTTGAATATTTCCTTTACCTTTTTTGTATTATATACTATTTAGAAAGTTCCGAGATTATTATAATACAATAAAATGTTTAAGATACATTTTGTAAGATGATATTTGGACTTTAAAAAAATAACAAAACAACTTTGAAATCATTGTTAAGTTTTTACTTGACTAAAATGTTATGTAAACACATATTCGTGTTTACAAAGTTCCTAAACACCATTAACAAAGCTTAATTAACTTCTATTTTCATTTTGGGGATTATTAATTAATAACTCTCGCCATCTAATGAAATGTTCAGTCCGTTTTTTTATTTACTTGATTCCTGGCTGACTTTTAACTTTGCCTTTGGCTAAACACACATATAATTTTTCACATTGCATTAACAAATTGAAAATTATGCATAAATCTCGCCACTCGCTCCGTCTCTTTCTAAGCCCCATATATAGTACGCCGTTTGGAAATGTGCGAGCGGAAAAGAGTGGAAATTGTTAATCCGCAATGGGAAAATTAATTTTATAAAACAGCTGTGCGGCAAAGTTTTCCCTTCTGCGGCTCTTCTTTTTCTCGCTCCCCTCGTTCTTCGCTGCAGACAAATCCTTTCGCAACAAAAGAAAAAAAAAAAACCAGGGAAAATGGAAAACGTATAGAAAAAAGAGTTGGCTAAGTTTAGGTGCGCTCTCGCCCTCTCCCTGTCGCACCCATTGTTGCCATCTCTTTCTGGTTTTCCAACCCCCGACGAAGAATGCCAGCTGAAAACGAGGCGAAAATATCTAGAATCCGAGGTGACAAAGGGAAAGGGAAAGGGGAAAGCGAAAAGAGAGGGAGCAAAGGGAAGGGGTAGCCTACACCTCACAAAAAGTCTGGAAAGTCTAAGTCCTATCAGGGATATGATATGGAATGGATATGATATGAGGCTTATACGATACCCATAAGTATTGATTAACTAACCTTGAACCCGGCAAACAAAAGTAGCTTTAGAATTTGTAATGACTTTATTAGGTTAGTGTTCGAGTGGAGTTATGAGGAAAAATAATATAACTAACCAATTTTTCAATAAATAAAGCAGAAAGGTTACTTTACGTTTGAAGGAAATTATGAATATTAAGTTTTTAAGTTATATATTATATATGTATCCTAAAAGTTATTTCCTTTCGAAAAAATCATAATAAATGTTGGGTTCATAGTTCCGATATGTTTTTCAAAATTAAATAAAATTGTACGAATCACATCTTTTCATAAAGTAATGCCAAGTAATTTCTCTTCTTCAGACTACGACTATCAACTTATGGACTCCTTTTAAGTTTGCCCAGCTACTCCCCTAGATTTTCTTCGAGTGCACAGTAGCTGGAAGCGCGTGGTTATTAGGGATGCTGCCACTTCCACTTCCACTTCCACAACTGCTGCTTTGCTGCTGGTTTCCCTGTGATTTATGACTGCCAGCGATGGCAGCCGTCCTCCCTCCCATCCCCTTTCCCCCCTGAAAAACTGAACTCTGAACACCGAACAGTGGGCAAAAAAGGCGATCCGCACCCTCGAAAAGCGGAGAAGCGAATGAAAACATTTGGGCGTAAATGTTTGCTCTGTTCTGGTGCAGATAAGCTGCGTAAAATTATTACGTTATTTGTATTGGTCGCAATCAACGCCCTCTCACTGTGGAATCGAAGGATGCGAGAACCACCCCGGGATCTCGTTGGCTGCTCACTCGATTGCTGCTACTGGGCCATAAAGATGCCTATCATTCAATTAATATTTACCAGGCCCAAGCCCCCGGGCCTTCATTCCGATTATGACTCCGATTTCATTGCGGGGAGCTCTGATTTTGATTTCGATTCTGATTCTGATTCTGATTCCGATTCTGATTCCCCTTTGGGGGTAATGATTATTTATGTGGAACGATTTTCTGTGCGGCTGACAACCTGGTGACCTTTCAATGGGGACCCTGCTGCGCTATTAAGATGATATGATACTCAAAAGGTGATCCAATAACCTTTTGAATATGGGAAGCACCAAGTATATCAGCTAATAAAAGGATTAATTAAATATTGTACTAATAACTAATACAAATGAGTATATAAATTGGTAATTTTGTTAAACCATGTTAAGCCTCGCCTGCTTTTAAGTTTCACCAAGTTAGTCGCTTGTGAAAAACGCTATCATGTACGCTAAAACCAAGTGGAAACTGGCCAACTTGCAAAACTCTTCCCCGAACCGCCGGCAGTCTAGTTTTTCCTCGGGCTAATTGAGTTGCTTGGCTTCCTTGCCGTCGAAAAACACGGAATCCCAAACCCCCCAGTCTCAAGACCCCAGACCAGACCATTGGATCCCCAATCCCCACTCGACATTCCCCGAGCACCGAGCACCGAGCACCCAAACCCCAAAAACCAAAAGCCAAAACGAAAACCAAAAGCCAGACGCCTTGTAACATGCAAACGAATCGTGTTCGCCACTTTCTGCTCCTCCTTCCACCGCCTTTTTGGCATTTCCATTTCCATTTCGCAGTTTTCAGCCATTTGGTTTGGGGTTTTGTAAGGTTTTTCCTAGTTTTCCCTGCCGTGTAATCTGATACGTGGCCAAGTGTGGGTGTGTGTTTTTATAGGAGCCCAACTACGTGAGTGGATGCATTGACATGTTGCGTCACTCGAAAGACGGGTACAGTGGGTTTTTACTTCTAATATAAAATTAAGTTTGGTATAGAAAAACTATTAAATAAACTACATTTCAAAGGAAACCCGTTTTATATTGTTTAGATTTGTTTAAGTAAGAACATCCTATAAAATATTTTTTATATTTCTTTGGTTAACCTCTTTTAAACTAAAACCCTGCTAACATTTTTTTCAAAACCACTGTGCTTGTCTGGGTTTCTAAAAACAATTCAGAAGCAGCCAAGCCAGCGAGACAAACAACGAAGGAAACTATCCAAGAATAAGAGACATGTGGAAAATCTATACAAATGTCAATTCCCAGCTACACCCCCTGGAAAACCCTCACTTCCTATATCTTTCACTTGCTTTTCTCGCTACTCCGTTTCTCCGATTCTCCGCTTCTCCGCTTCTCCGCTTCTCCGTTTCTCCGATTCTCCGGTGTGCATTACCGGAATCAATTGTGTAAAAAACGTAACTTTGGAAAAGGAAACAATGGAAAAGAAGTCGTCGATTCATGGGACATGTGCAAGGTGTCCTTGCTGCACCACTCAGCTCCTCAGCTCCTCAGCTCCTTTTCCTATTCCTCCACAGCCATTCAGCCATTCAGGCATTGAACCATTCAGATATTCCTGCTCCCCCTTCAAATGGAACGTGTCGTTTTTCATTCCGAGCCGACCATTGCAGGGGCTTCTTTTCCCCTGGTCTTTAAAGCCAGCTTGTTACTAACTGCCTTTGCCACTTGGCTTTAAGTAAGTTCGATCCCAGTGTCTTTATCTTTTCCCTATGCTTCTTACTACAGAAAATTCCTTGCTTATTAAAGTCGAAAGATTCTCAACTACTTGTTGCCTATTTCATCTTTTAAATGTTAGCTTCTTGCTTATAAATTTTATCTTTATAATATATATAACTTTTTTGTTAATTCCATAAATTCCTACCATTACCTCAACTTTAGTTAAATGGCATGGTTCTTTTGACCCTGCAATGTCACGTCCTTAAATTACACGAACAAAAGGCATTTGGCCAACAAAGCGAGGGCAAATTCAAAAGCAAAAGCAAAGCAAACAAATCGATGGATCAATATAAGTTGCCAATAATGTTTATTATTTTCTTTTTTTTTTGTTTGTTACGTCCCGTGTGTGTTTTCATTGCAGTTTCGGAAAAACGATCGATGTTGCGGCTGTGTTTGCCCAAGAAATTACCGAAAGGAGATGACAGTTTTTCCAATCGGCAACCGGAAGCCCGAAGATCTCTTTTCACTTCTTTTTTTTTTGGGCCATTTGGCAGTTTTTGGGCCAACGGCGCTAGGGATTCTGTTTGTTTAGGCCCGATCGCGGACACCTAAACAAACAGACGGTGGCAAATAGAAGAGGTCCTGGAAATTGAGTCGTACAATTTGCTGTCATCGTTCTCATCTGGCTGACGCTAGAAATTAGCGCAAATTATGCTCGACTAATGCCTTGAGCAAACTTCAGTTACGATTTTATTTCGGACTCAGATTCAGTGTCCTGGAGGGGTGACTTGTCATACCCCGCAAATCCTTTCGGCAAATACGGGAACTTATTTCGAACCGTTGCGCTTCTCCGAAGGGGGAAAATAGACGTCTATTTGCATTGGAAGTCATCAAATCTGTTCGCTCCATATGTGTATTATGGTGTATATTCAACCACCCCCCCCAACATCCTGGCCGTAATATATATTACACCAAGCGCCGACAATCTGTTACGAGCTGTTGTAATTTGTTTGTTTTATGGATTTCCTTCGACGTCCGCCGGTTTTGCCGGCACTTTTTCGAGGGCATTTCGCCTAATTAAACCAACTATACAAGTGTATCTGTGCGAGTTTTTGTGGGTTAAAAAGCTCACATGTGCCATGGCTAATGGGCGTGAGGCCTTCGAAGTCGAGAAACGAGTTAGCAGGTCAGCAAGTGCCTGTATTTGCCTTTGGGGGCGGGGAGCGGCCAACGGGGAAATGCGATATGCCCAGAAATTGACGCACTTTTTCGGGGTAATAAACGGAAGGACTTAATGCGGTAAGTGCTGAATTCGGTGTCATGTTCCACTAAAGTATTGGAGTACTTTTTACTTTTCACGCGACAGTTTATAAGCTTGAAACCACGAAATCAATATGTCATCTGATGATTATTTAACTATCATTTTTAGGAGCCTTTATAAATATATATACCGATATTAAGGGAAGTATTCAATTAATTTCTATGGAATCACACACAATCCTATATTAAATATAGAACTCCCCTTCTGCCAAGTTTCATAGTGATACAAAGCTTCATAACCAAGTTACGTGAGGTGCTTACCTGTACTCGGGATTCGGGCAGATTGATCTTGAGGGCCACTTCTTCGCGCATGAAAATGTCCGGATAACGGGTCTTGCCAAATAGGGCTTCCAATACGTCCAATTGGGCGCGTGTGAATGTGGTGCGTTCGCGACGCTGTTTTCGTGTGTTTACGCCTTTAAAAAATACATCACATAAAGAAAAAAAGAAAAGAAAAAAATACAAAAATATGTTAGAATAAAAGTTCTTAAGTAAGAGCGAGTGCCTAACCGAATGTGCTGAAAGTTTCTTTTTCTTCTGGGGCCACATTGAGTATACGCCATGTGTGCCGTGACTTTTCCCAGTAATATTTTCGCCAGTAACCGTTATTTTGCTTGCCGTCTCTGTGTGCTTGTATGTGTTTGTGTGTGTGTGATATAGCAACCCCCGAAAAATTGGACGGCCAACCCCTAAAAGAAAAAAGGACTTGCAAAGGAACCAACCCCCGTACAGCAGCCGCCCCAAAAACTCGACTCCCTTTTTTCGGTGTACATAATGTTCCATATACCGAGATGTGTGTGTGCGATGGTGTATGTGTGTGTGTGTGTGTGTGTGTGTGTATCGTATCTGTGTGCGGACTAAGCCGCCGCATTGTTTGCTTTGTCAGCTCTCTCTGTCGCTCACCCTCGAAAAACCCGAAACATCGAGACTTCACCATCGGCCCACTCCCTATTTATATTTCTTTTTTTTTCTCTCTTGTCCCAAATACACCCCGACTATTGCTGTCTCGCTCGCTCACAGGCCCTCCCATTCTGGCTCTATCAAAAATTAATGAGTTAGTCATTTTGGTCATGAATTTATAAATTGAATAAAAAACTTCACTTCACTTTGCAGCTGCCGCATTTCGTTCAGTTTTTACGTTTCTGTTTCTGTTTCAGCTTCAGTTTTCGTTTTCGCTTTCAAAATGGTTGCCAACTTGGTTTATTTCTTTATATATATCCACACAATTAATTGCAATTTGCCATGTGTGTGTGTGACGTGTGTGTTTGCTTTTTTTTTTGGGGATACTTAATATTTTGATTTTTGCCTTGGCTTTATGAAGAGAGAGAGCTTGTCGTTTAATTAACTGCACCTATAAATTTTTGGCTTCTTTCAAATATTTTACTGTCCGCGTATTTTATGGCTAATTTATGGGGTTTCCAGGAAGGTCTTGTAGTTTTTTGGGCTTGTGGCCAAAACCAAAATAGTTCAAGGTTTGTTGGAACTTACTAATATGGGTAAAATGGGAATGGAAAACTAACATTTTATTCATTCATTTTAACAAAAAAATACTTTTTCGAACTTACATTTTTATTTACTTATGTTTCAGAACTTTATTTATAAATAAATCCCTCTACTATCCACCATTTTATTTTGTTATGAGGCAATAGACAACTAGGCTTACTTTCTTTTCTTGTAGTTTTCCCTTCGTTATGGCCTCTTTCATCATATTGTATCAATATAGTAATTGTGGCCACCAAACTAACTTATGTAACAAGCTAAAATTCTGTCAATTACTTGGCTTATTACCGCAGCAAAGCAAATACAAGGCAAGGCAAAAAAATATATACATATATACAAAAATTGATTACGGGTATAAAATTGTTGTTTTCTTTTTATCATTTTTCTCTTTTTTTATGATTTGGCTTATTTATTTTTGTTTTCGGCTGTTCAATGATTATTTTGTGTGTGTTGCTTTGGCAGGGTCTTTTGTTGGCATTTTGTAGCCAATTTTTTGTGATTTTTGTCAGGTTTTGTTTGTCATTTGCAGCGTCACCGAGCGAAGCGAAAACTGGAACCGAAAAAAGCTGAATCTAAAGCTCGAAAACTGGAAGATAAAGTCGGAGAGGAGACCGAAGTATCCGAAACTGCCCGAAGCTCATTATTCATTTTGACAATTTAACTGATAATGATGCAATATCGATGCGAACTGACATTGAAAGGCAGCCAAAGCGAAGAGGAAGCCCGACTCTACAGTGCGAAAAATAGACTAGTCTTTATCCGACACTTAATGGCAGTAATTGATTTGTAAAATATGCAAAAACATAATTGGCTTGAGATCAAAAAAACCCATAAGTTAATTAAAAAATTTAATAGTGTTGTTTTTGAGTTCAGAACTAGTTAGTTTTTGGCGATACGAAATTTTGAAGCACCTTGACTTTGCTTTTTAAGTTACTGATATATAATAATATGTGCTATTTAGTTGATCAGAGAACCTCAAGTGTTTTTCCCGCAGTGTTGGCGACGTCTTTGGCATTTTGTTTTAACAACTTTCAGCACATTTGAGCGATCTGGTTTGCTTACGTGTAGGACATGTATATACCAAAATTGTCGATGCGATATTTACCCCACATACCTTGGGAGAACCCGACGGCCTCCAGTCCGTGTGGGAGGCCGAAGGGACCCAGCGACGGCATCGGCATGCCGGGCGGCAGTGGGCCGTGCGGCACCGAATGGTGCGGATGTGGACCCCCGTAACTGTGCGGATGGGGGCCCAGATCGCCCGACTTGAGGAAGCCCGCCGCCATCAAGGCCTCGGTCGAGTGCAGCGCCACGTTGAAGCTGTGTGTCTCCACGGAAGAAGGCAGAAGGCTTCTGTAGTCCGTCTCTGTGCGGCTGGATCGCTCCCTCACTGGTGCGATCTCCTCTGTTCCGCTCTGGATCGCTGCTCGTCGGTCAATCGTAGCTCAAGGTGCTTCCGATCGGATCTGCAAAATATTATAAACATAAAATATACAGTTGAATTTTTTAAAGGGTTTAAAACCTATTTTATTACGCACTTCAAATGAGATCACTTTATTCTAGCTAATCTTTTTAGAAGAATTTTTAATCCTTGAGTTAACTGGAGTTTAAGTGTATGGCCTACTATGCAAAATATAATAACACATATTAAGGCAACCTTTAATCATATAAAATTTATTTATGATGGTTTCTATCTATTACTCCTTCTTATAATATATGGAAACTATTTTATTTATTATTATAGCTTTTCCTGAGTTGCTTATCAAAGTCACAGAAATATTGTTTATCAATCGAATACTCCTCAAATCATTTGTTTATATTTCCCTAGCAAAAAAGATATGGAAAATTGTTTTCCCCACCTCTCCACGCTTTGCAAACAATAATCACTCGATGAAAGTGCCCCAAGAGATATGGAAATCCCTGCGAAAAACGACAACTTAATGCCACCAAATCACTCACAATTCGCCAATTATCTGTGAAATTCACTGGTTCGCTGTATGGTTTGTATATTCCGCAGAGAAACAGAGGATAAGTTGCCTGTTTGTTGTGGGTTAAGCTCTTGCCACGAGTTCCAATTACACTCTAAGACCGAGACCAAACAGAACCGAGACTTATAAGGCAGGTCTTTGGTGTCTCCATCGCTAGCTATCTCTATCTAACGGCTCTATCTGTCTCGCCCACACTCGCGATCGTTCCTTCGGGGTCTTTAATCCCGAGGTTTGTCTATGATGTAAAAACTTCTAATCTGGGCCGAGAGCACACACAAACCAGAGGAAGATTACCCAACCGCCTCCAAGACCGAATCCCGTATCCCGAATACCGAATTTTGAGTTCCGAATCCTTGAATCCTGAACACCGAACCCAACCCGATCAGATCCGAAGTCGCATTCGGGCTTATCTTGCGGTTTAAAGATCTTTGATCTGCGCTTAGCCGCAGGATTATTTCAGACACTTACTAAAAACGATCGCACACACTCACACACACACACCAATACTTATATTCGGGGAGGACACTGCCTGATCCAGGACAATGGGCATTAAGATTAAGCCCAGAAAGGGACAACTAGCCTGGATTAGATTCCCCTGCCTTTTGTGTTACCTCAGTTTTCGTGCGAAAAAAATTAGCACTATTTGCCAAGAGAGTTTCGAAATTGAAAGAAAGTCCAGATAGTTGTAATTGCGGAATTAGCACGAACACCTCGCATTGTTTTGAAACTGAAAACCAAAACCCGAAAACCAAAAACCGAAATACCGATGACTATTTGTCACATCTTCACCTTTCGATGAGTGTATGTAAAATTTGTTTTGTTTTGTCATGTCGCTTTCATGGATCAATGCATTTTTGGCCTCAGAATGCAGCCGCAAAAACATCGAGATCCCGAAGAACCGAAAAGTAAATGTGTGTGTGTGAAACCGAAACAGAAACCAAAACCTAAAACCCAATCCCAATCTCAATACCAACTTCAAACCCAATCCCGACCCTGATATATAGCACCCGATACGGATACGGAACCCAATGTGCGATGACAGAACATTTGCTCCTGCCCTTCTGCCCTCCGAATGCCCAAATTACATGCTCACGCGCACACGCAAATTAATAACACATCTGGCTTCAATTCGAGGGCCAGCAGAGATGCGGACGCTCTTCTATATAGGAGTATATAGCGATAGAGGATTCTACGCGACCATCCACAAGGGGGAGGGTTCGCTACTCATCCCGGAATCACCGAATCTCGGAGTCCCACTAAACGGAAGCTGATCAGAACCAAAGCCGTAATTGATAGTTCGATAGACTTAAGCTGGAAAGTTGATTGAGATCCCACTGCTTCATGAACTTTTAAAGCCAAAAATTAGAAGTAGCTTAACAAATTTAAAATTATATAGGAAAGGCGATTTTAATAGAAAATATAAGTTAAAGGAATTACTGACAGATTTGTATAATAAAGTTCTACATAATATTCATTTGTTTACCATTAAAATAATATTTTAATAAATCCTTTTAATAATTTTAGTAAAATATAATAATTTTTAAGTAAGTTAAAAATGTATCTCAGTAAATCCCTTTAGTTTTTAGAGAAACCCTTTAAACTCCTATTTGTTAAATTAGTTTTCATCCCATGTTCCCATGGCTCTTTCGACCAACTTCCATTAACCAAAATTTCACAAACGATCAACTGTAGGAAAAGAAGTGCCAGTAAAAAAATCTCGACGAACTCTCAGCATCTGTCAAAAACCGAAAACCGAAACCGAATGTGACACATTTTTAGGAGACAAACCGGGAATGGCGATCGGACTCTACGTGATTTTCTAGACATTTGGCCCCTCGGCCTTCCGCCCTCGCTGATTATGAAAAATCATGGTAAATGGTAAATGGTAAATGGCAAAAAGAGCAAAATAAAAAAACCAACAGCAACAACAAAATAAAATAAAACAAAAAACAAGAAGGCCCGCTGGCACTTTTTTCTTTTTTTTTTTTAAGAGAGATCCATTGTGAAGCAGAAACGAGTCGAGACAAAATCATTTGGGCTGGACATATATCACGTACGACGGCAGACACTTTCATTATGAATTCCATTCGGCAATGCCTTCTGATTTTTTCGGTTTTCAGTATTCGGTGTTTTCTGATTTGCTCGATTCTGGCTGGTAATTTTTTCAAACTCTACGATTTTCACTCTCGATTTCAATTTCCGCCATCTCGAACAGCAATTCAATTCGTTTGTCAGCGCGTAATTACGGTCAAAATAATATTTGTTGGATAAACAGCCGGGAGGAAAACAAAATAAAGCCACGAATCGAAGATGCCACGGCTACCGTAAGATTTTTTTGGGGTTTTGGGGGTTTTGGAGCAGGGGGATAACCCCCTATATAAACCCGCACAACCAAGTGTTTCGGTTCGCTGATGATGCGACTGATGGTCCCTGGGAAAGTCGAGAGAAGTCAGAAAAAAAGTTGAAATGTCGAAAAGAAATCGAAGCAAACTGAAAACCGCCACTTGGCTACTGTTCATTTGGGCCATGGGAATATAACTCTTGGCTCTTTTGGCCGCATGATTAATGGTCCGTCTTTGCATAACATTTGGCCATCTCCCCAGTCCGCATTTGGCTCTGACTAATATCAAACGCCGCGTATCTGTGGCTATATTTAAGTTAGTCAGTCACCGGCGATCAACTTTGGGGCCACTGTGTGCAGCTGTCAGGAGTGCTAACCTGTCAGTCGCGCAGTTGCCAGTTTCTAGTCACTAGTCTCTAGTAACTAGTCGCAAGTCGCAACTCGCAAGTGGCTAGTAGTTGCTAGTCGCTGGTAGTCGCTGCTAGTCGCTGCTATTAGCCGCCTTAACAGGCCCCATAACAACTTAATAGGCCCGGGCATATTGCACATTTTCCACACTGCCCATCAACTGCGCTTTCCAATTGCATTCCTATATTTTAACTGACTCCGAGAGGTAGAGAACTTCTTAATAGATATGCAAAAAGTTATTTATAATATCTCATAAAATAATTCACTGCCTAAATGTTTTGTGAATAAAAGAAACCATAAATAGACAAGAACTCTGTATAATTTAATTTTTATAAATCACTTCAGTTAAATATTAAAAGACGCCTCAAAATATTGCAATAAGGTTTTTGGTTTTACTTGGAATGATTCGCCGTCGCTCTTTTAAGCCAAGTACTAAATCTCGCTTTGCTTAACACAATAATTAGTTTGTTTAACTTTTGTACTGAGAATTTCTCAATTTTTTTCTTGTTATACACTGGTAAAAAGAAGAACACTTATAGTTGAACCTTAAATCCATTCTATAAAAATAGTAATCTTTGATATATTTTCAAAAGACAACTTGGGAGCATCGAAAGATTTCTGTTGGCTGTTTTCTTATGGTAGCCAGTGTAGACTTCACATTCGTCTATATGGATAACGCGTTATGGCAGCGAAAGAGACGGCAACACGGAGACAGAGAGAGGTGGCAGATGAAAAATGCATTTCTCAGGCTCATTTACATTGAGCCGCGGCTACTGGAATATCGTATGGTATGGTATAGTATGTGGTATGGCAAATGCTACATGTGGTATATGTGCTGTGTGGCATGGACATGGAACTAGACGGTCCGAAGAGCCAAGACCAAGACTACAAGTCCGAGTTTCTGACGCTGGCCTAGCATAATAAGCCTGTCTGCCTGTCTGTCTCTTTGGCAATAATGCAACTTAATAAATGCAACAAAGAACGAGAAGTGCCCGAAGTAGCAACTCCAGCAGTCACGTCCCGAAAACCAAAAAAAAAAAAAAAAAAATACAAAAAGTAGAAAAAATAATAAAAAAATACGAGAGTAAAAAACAGGAGAAGCAAAAAAAAAGGGGAAAAGAAAAAAGAGTAGGAAAAACTTGGAACTAGTTGCTGCCATTTCTACGCAAATGCATTTTGACATTTAAATTTGCAATTTTCGCATAAAATTATATTTATTTATTCCAGCTGGCTTTGGTGAAAAGTGCAACCTTGCTGCGCCGCTGGAGGATCGCGATTATGATGGGGCTGTTGATGTGGATTCCAGCTACTGACTTTGACGTTGACGTTGGCTGAAGTTTAATTAAGCAACGTGCCAAATAATTGAAAAAGTGTGAAGATTTGACAAGTTTAAGAGGCATTAAAAGCCAGTCAGCCAGTCAGTAACTATATATGTATATGGCCTAGAAATCTGGCGACTAACTGTTTGTGCCGCTGCGACAACTTTTCCACTTGCCCACATTTTTAATTAGTTTCTGTTTTTTTTTTTTCGCTTATCGCACGGCAACATTATTCATTATTTACCTAATCGAATTGACACTTGAGCAGCCGCTGGTGTAATTAACAGATACGAGGCTGATTGCTCAATCAAAGTAATCTATCGTCTCTATAGATTAAGCATAATCCCCGACAAGTATTTCTCTGGGCTCCTCAGAAGAATAACTCCCTTTGAAACATAGTTAAACGCTTGTTTAATCTGAGACAAACATATATTATAAATGGTAATTTATTAGCGGACAAATTGCTTTTGCCGTTTTTAATTGCTTTTCCATTAAGTCAACAATTAACGATCTGACATGGTTATGAGATAAACTAAAAATAAATCAAGTTAACAAAGATAATATTCATTTTTATAGAGTTTAAACGACGTTTAGATATGTATTTTAAAGGGAGCTGAACTGATCTATGACTTTGTTGAGAATCCTTTAAAGTCTAAAGGAAATTATTTACTTTAGTATATCTTTCTTTGTAAATACCACTTGATCGAGAGAATTATCATCTTTTCAGGTTATCTATTGATTTCTGGGCATGTGTTCTATCCCTCTTTTTTTTAGATCTAACCTGTTCAATAACTTCATCATGTCTTTTTTCATTCACAAACCAAGTTCCTGGCGAACAAAACCCAATAAATTTCCATAAAATTGGTTTTAATTCAACAAATTTTTGGCTTTACATCATTTTCTCTGCCTCTTCCCACAATTCCGTTCCATTCAAAGAAACCAACTAAAAATAACAAAAAATACCCATGGAAATGTATAAAAAGTATTGAATGAATTGCGCTTGTTGTTTTGGTTATTGTTGTTGCCGTGTACAAATGATTGCATCATGGACAGTGGACCAAAAACCGAAAACCAAAAAAAAAAAAAAAATAAATCAATAATAGACTAATAGAGTAAAGAGCTCCAGTCGGGTCACAACAACAACAACAACAACAACGACAGCGGCTAGAAAAACTTATTATTTGACGCATTGTCAATGTGATCTTGATAAGTCGAAACTGGAAATGGAACCTGAGGAAAAAAAAAAAACTAAAACCTCCGTCTGAGTGATTTCTATTTAAATGGCTTTGTCAACGAAATTTGAGAAGCGAACAGCAACAACAACAACAACAACAACAGCGCCAGTATCGCGTAATGAGCAAAGAGTGAAGAGAGATAAAAATTAATAATACAAATAATTGGTAGGAAAAAAAAGTGCGTCCAAGAAATTGAACGCCACGGAACCAGCCGAGATGAAATGAAATAAAATGAAATAAAAAACGAAATGAAACCTCACTTAAGGCGAGGCGACGCCAAAAGAGATTGACAAAAGATGACGACAAAAAAAAAAAAAAATAATAATAAAGGCAACACCCGATCTCCCAGGTACGAGTATAGTACCCTATGTATACCACCGATATGCCAACAGTGTGTGGGAGTTCGACTCGAACTCAAAGTCGAAGTCCAAGTCGAAGGGGAAGTCGGAGTAGAAGTCGAACCGAACAACCGAGAGATTGGGGCGTGCTAGGGAAGCGGAACAATGGATACCGTTCCACAGTAAGCGAAAAGGATTCCAAATTTTATGATACACTTTTCAAAAACCAATGGGATAGGGTAAAAACCTTAAAAAATTGAAAATTACTTAAAGCTCAATAGGTAGTTAGAAAAGTATATAACAAGAGTACAGATAGTTAACAATTTGAATAGAATGGAAAAATATTTTTAGTATTTTAAAACCATGATAAACTCAAAATGTAAATAATCTTCAAATATTAATACTTAAAAGTGTTATTATTAGATTTATGTTGATCAATACTTTAAGTAAAAGTTTCAGTGGGTTTTAATAAACTTATTTCAAAAACCTTATTCTTTTTTATAATATATTTTTGATGGTTGAGTTTGTATATTGAAAGATTATTGTGAATGGTAAAAAGTTATATCTGTATGCCATAACATATTTGCAAAACTTGTTCCCCTTTTTCTTTCAGTGCAGGCTAGAGCGAAATTCCCTCATTCGCTGGGGGATATACGCGATAAGGAATCAAATGTGTCGCGACGCGATCTCGGCGACTTTCAATCCACGATCGACAACGCTGGGCGGATGTTGTGAATGAATGAATTGGCATTGGGGCATTGAGGCATTGAGGTATTGAGCGGATCTAGGCTGGGCAATCAGGCGTGGGTGAAACCGCACCAATAGATCCCAAGAGATCCCCACAAACTCCACACTCCACATCCGAGTACCAAATCCGATACCGAACTCAACTCCAATTCGGATTCGGATGGAGAAAGATCGGAAAAAAGGGGCAGAGAAAAATGAATCGACTGCATATTAATTTCTGTTGCTTTTTGTTAGAAAACCATATGCAAATTAATAATAAAACAGAACAACAAAGTAGCCAGCAGCAGCGGCGAGGAGTCAACGTTTTATTCAGATATTTTAATTTATAGCCGCCGCTTTGAAATTAGACGATCCGATCGGTGGAGAATATGTGGGGAATATGTGTGAATAATGCGACCTGAACGGCTCCGTCGGCTGGCTTCTATTGTGTTTTAGTCTAACATTGGTTTTCTTAGGGTTTCTTCGCCTCGCCGTTGCCTCTATCATTTGGTAGCCTTTTTCTATATCACATTTCTCGTATCGATTTTGTCGGACTTGCTGCTTTTTTCTATTTTTTTTTTTTTTTTGGTTTTTTGTTTTGCCTAATTAAGGGAGGCGGCCTTAATATGCCCATTAAAATTATGAAAATCATAACGAATCTTTCGAATCTCGCATTTTCTCACATTACGCTGCGGACATTAGTCATAGGCGGAATTTCCTGAACAAAACCCGATTTATAGACTTTACGATATCACACAAAATTGGAAGAACTAAAACAAAATCTAAGTCTCTAGTTGATAATTTAATTGTTGCACAAATAATTCTCCAAAATGGTGTTGTTATTTTCTATCTAAAGTTCTATTGAGCGCTTAACTAAAAAAGAAGATTTTTTAGCCAATATTCAATAACTCAACTTTTTTAATAGTTGTATCTTTAAACAAATTGTTTAGCCTCGAATCAATTAGATTAGAACCCTTAAAGAAATCTTTTAATAACAATTAAAAGTCAAAGTTAGGTGCTAAATCCTTAGAGATATGTATAAGCATTACTTTTCAGGAGATAACATATTGTGACTTCAAGTTTGTTTTTTAGAGAAGTTGTACCTATTCGAATGTGGTTTTTGTTTTAGGACATTATGAGAGTTAAATGCAACCGTATGTTGGAAAACTATTTTAAATTAGATTTTAAATTAAAGAGGTGTTTACGAGTAAACGATTAAACATAACATTTCAAATGTTTAGTAACGGTAAATGGAAAATTAGGAAATACATTAGTTTATATTAAGAACTATTGTATTAAGTTGTATTTTATTGCTGAAGGGAGCCTAATATATCAGTCAACAGCTTTTTAAGGACTAAAACGTTTATTTTGGAAATATACTCAACATCTTGGTTGATTTTAAAATAAAAAAAACCTGAAACAATCCAAGTTAAGAAACAAACTATTACTGATTTTAAGGTTGCATTCTTTCACATTCCCAATTTAAGACAGTTACATAGAAACTTTGCGTTTTAAAAGTTAATAGTATAATAATTTAATTTATTAAGCTATATAAAAAGGAAAGCTTTATGCTAGAATATCGTTTAAAATTAAACAATTTGAAAGTGAATATAAGAAATTTGATAGTGATAATCCCTAAAATATACTGCATTTTCCCGCCCCCATCGACTACTTAGGTCTACCGATTCCCCAGCTAATCCCAAATTTAATCCGTGCTTATCTCTCCGGTCCACATTCCTCGCGGTTTATAAAGGTTTATACCGATTTCTCGATATCGGAGGATCGCACTCACCGAAAAAAAAACACAAACAAAACTAGAAGCAAAACGGTGCTGTATTCCAATGGCGACTTGTTTTCAGATCCAGCTACTATATAGTTATAGCATGGGTATATATGACATATATATTTGTATATGTATATAATTGTATTCCAGAGATGTTTGTTTATGCGATGTTTTTTTGTTTGGCACTGGCAACACGGTAAAAAAACAGATTCTCGTCACTGGCACTTTGATATATATCCGAGAGATATATATCTCTGACTTAGTATTTCTCTGACTTTTCTGTTTTTCTATAGCTCTCAGCTTTAGCTATAGCTATAGCCTATTTGTTTTGATATTTGTTTGTTTTTGGCGTCGGCGAATTGATTGTTGTTATTATCGGTGCGGCGAACGCGGCGAGTAGCGAGAGCGATCGAACGAGCGGCGTACGGAGCGTATGAGCGACTGAGCGACTGGGCGACGGACGACGCACAAAAACAACCCGAGCGGCACGAAAGTTACTCTGGAAATGAATTGCGGTACACCTTCCACGGACGACGGCAGCGGTGGCAGCAGCGCAGCGAGCAGCGGGCAGCGGGCGGGCAGAGCAAAAGTCGTTCGACCAGAGTCCGCAAAAAAAAAAAAACAAACAAACAACCGAAAGAGAGAGGGAGAGAGAGCGAGAGCGAGTGTCTGCTTTTAGCAATGGCTGCCCAGCTCTCAGCTGAATGAGAGAGTGAGACAGCTACTCTCGTGCTGGCTTCCTGTCATTTACTCTCTGTGTGTCCTTGTCACTCTCCGCCGTATGCTCCCTTAGATAGAGGGAGACAACTGCTTGCTGCCCCGTTTTCAAGCAGCTGTATTTACCTCTGTGTTGTTGGTGGCCCATGTGTGTGCGCTTGAGTGTGGAACCACACCCCAAAAAAATTCAGTTCAACAACTTTGTTGCCACAAAAAGAAGAAAAAAAATATATAGTCATAAAAAAACTACCTTCGTATTTTTGCGCGGCAGCAATGAAATTTTAATGAAAACGACAAGGCAGCGAAAACAACGCAAAAATTTGTTAGCTAACAGCAAAAGATAAGGAAAAGGGGGAGGCAATGGGCGCTTAAAGGACGATGGTCAGTAGCGCTACTCCTGCTGTTGCTTCTTCTTCTGCGTCGCAAATTGTCATGCACACACAATCACAACGCAAACAACAACAATCGATGGGCAAGGAAGAAGAAGAGGGAGCCACTCACACTTAGCACGCCCCCTCCCTTTCTTCCCAACGGGCGGCCCCATTGTTCAATTATCATTTACGCAAAGCGAGGTGAAAAGAACTTAAAACTCAAGATGAATTTCGTTTCAAAAGGACTTACAATTCATCAGTTTAAGAAAGGACAAAAATCATGTGTTTTAATATAATTTGTAAAAATATTATTATTCCTTTATTAATGCAAAATATATTCATAAAAATAAAGATCTTAGCATAACATCTTCATAACAAACATAATTTACCATCTTTTCGAACTTTAAGATTCTTAAAAACGGACAAAAATAATTTTAAAATTTATTTAAGATTAATAAGCTAAACTTTTCTTATACCACCACCTACTAAATGTTTAAAAAGTTAATTTCCGCGACATTGCTAACTGTAAATGATATAGCCCAGCGACGAAACTTTTTTTGCCCAAACTTTTTTTGCCTTGTAGCTGACGCAGGAAAAAAATTGGGGGACCAGCGGAAAAAACCTTATCAAATTTTTATGACAATTTGAAATAGCTGACGACAGTTGTTCCGTCCTCTCGCTCGCACCAATGGCGGATGGGGCGAGAAAATGTTGCACAAATATTTTATGGATTTTTCTTGTTGAAAACGCTTTTTTTTCTGCTCTCGCACTTTTCCCATTTTCAGGCGGGCAAATTAAATTGTTGCGGCTAATTGATGTGTAGATGAAACATGAGGCAATTACCCTTCGAGGGGAAAGCTTAGCGCACAAATTGGGGCCCCAACAACAACAGGACAATCAGGGAAATTCTGTACAGAATCAGGAATGAAATAAAACAAAAACTCATTTACATTAAAAATTCTGAGGAAAAACTTCAACATGTTTATGGAGTAAAACTCCGAAAAACAAAAAGCGCTTCGAAATGGAAAAGTTACGTTTTAACGTAGAAAAAACTGCTCAATTTAAAATACATAAAACTTTTAAGTGTGAACCTTATAAATTTAGTGGTTGGTTTTAAAACTATAAACTTAAAAAACTTGTCTTACAAATTACAGAAACTGGTCTTAAAAAAGTGCAAATGCCATAATTAAATAATTTGCGTCCTGGAAAGTTTTTAATGTTTGTATTATATTTTCAAATGATCCGTATGTTATGTCTATTAGCATTACATTGAATTAAAAATATAGTAGCGTTCCCATCCAAAAATCTTAGTTTTAAATATCCCTTTACAAAAACAGTAGCTACCAACCAAATATTTCCTTTTGAGTTTATACATTTTCAGCGCCAGCGAATAAAAACCCAAGAACCAACAAACAAAAATGCAAAGCAAGTTAAAAAAAAGATCTGAAAATGAAAATACTCAAAGTTTAACGCACATATGTACACGTGGGTGTACTTTTGCCATCATTTTTTATTTCCTCTATTTTTTTGCGAGTCGCCAGCCGCGAAAAGTTCGCCGCCATTTGCCCCAAAACATTTTTCATAGGCGACAGTTTTGATTGCTCCACGGGCTCAAGGGGAGGTGGGGGTGCCTTATGTGTGGGTGTTCAGGTTTCCAACTAGAAACGCAGCCAACTCGCCTTGTTTCCTTTTTTTTTTTTTTTTTGCCTACCAGATTTCTTCTCCCCATTTTTTCACCATTTTTTTCCCATTTTTTTTGCGGGCTGATTAACGACAATTCGTTTGGCTGATTTTTTATTGCCCAGCACATTCATTAGCCTCTGTCGTAGGCGCGTGGCATGCAGCATGCACTGAGAAAAATTAAATAATTTGACTTCCTTCACCTTTCTGGTGGGACACAATTTTGGATGTTGTTGTGTGATTCTGGATAAATAAATGATTACTATCTATTAATACTTACTCATTACAAAAACTATTAATTTCAATTATGTCAACAACCCTATTAAGTAAACAAATCTTTTAGTATTTTAACATTTTTAGCATTCATGATTTTTGAAATTTTACTTAAATAGAGCATCATATATTAAAAGCACAAATAGCATGTTCTTGATATTTTTCAACACCGGTTAATCAAGTTACTTGAATCATTGCTAAACCTTTCAGTGTTAACAATTTTAATTTAATAAAATCCTTTTATTAACTGTGTGGGGAGAGGTCTCAATTTTCCACCCCCTCGTTCTCCCTTCATTAGCTTTGGTCGTTGTCTTTTATTGACTTCATGAGGGGTTTTCGGTTTGCCTCGGGGATCCATAATTGCGCGGAAAAGGGGCGTGGCAGTGGTATAATAAGGTGGGCGTGGGTGTGGCATTAAAGGTATTATGAAGCAAGCTCGTTGTCTGGAAAAAGTCCATCAAAGACTAAGAATTTGATTTCAGGTGGGAGATTCTTTGAAAGGCACGCATGCGCATCCTAAAGCTCGCTAACCTGTTGGTAGTTATTTATATGAATTTGCTACATTTTAAATAAAGAATCTAAATAAAGTATATAATTCCTATTAATAAAAAACATATACCATAAAAAAACTTAATATCATATTGTGAATCTAGGGGATTTCAAATCATTTCCCCAATCCCATTTGAAAAGAAACTGAATACACATAATACAGCGATCAATTTAATCTGAATTGGAAGCAGTTTAAATCAATAGAAATGTCAAGAGATCAGCGGAGACGCACAGAAAAACCAGAAGCCCGAAAAGCCGAGAGGTTCTCGAGTATTTGGTTGTGTGGCAAGTGCAGCGGATCCAGATCTGGAGGATTTGCCGCCGTTTCATTGCATTTTTCCCAGTTTCATTAAGGCGAGCCGCAGGATCAATGCATCCAGGGGAAGGACGCAAGGAGGCTAGGTAGGCGGAAGAGCCCAGCGGGGAGGGATTCAAGACTCAAGACTCGAGACCCGAGACCCGAGATCTGAGATCTGAGATCCGAGATCCAGGTCTTAATTCCCAAGGTTTATTCGCTGTGCGTGGCCCGATGATTATAATGGCTTGCCTTTATGCTCGCTGATGGTTTTATGATGCGGTTAAGCGCTTGCAACCGCAAAGTGGCCGCGCACACGACGCAGGACCAAGTGGCAAGGACCAACCAGCGGGACAAGGACTCCGCATGCACTGCGAGAAAAACGAAGCAAATAGAAGTCAGTTAACTGTTTTATATTAAGATGAATGCAGCGCAGATTTGCATAATCACAAAATATATTAAAAGTGCTACAGGAAAAAGAAATTTAAATTCCAATTAGTTAATTTTTTTAAGGCGAGATAAATAATAACTATATATTTAAATTTATTAAAACCTATATTATATATTAGTGCACAAAGATATTACCCATTAGGCTTAATATTATTTTTTTTGTAATAATTATAGTAGATTTCTACGTTTAATGGAATTTATATTTTATTGGGTTGCTTTCCTAATTAGCTCACCTAATTTTATAACTTCATAATACCTCAGAATGCTTTACCAATTGTAATGTACGCAACTATGTATTTAATAGTATTTATCATATTCTATTATATATGGGTGATTCCATATCAGATTTACAGTCGATATTGAGAAATTCGATGAGATATTTTTTTCTTGCTCTTTATCGAAAATAAATCGACACGTATTTTTATATGGCTCAGAAAATTTTTTTGACAAAGTTATGATTTTTGAACTTTTGATGAACTGCCCTTTTTTTGATGACAGTCGCGTTTTCCAGCCCCAATAACTTGAAAACCGTACGTCGCAGGAAAAAATATATAGGAAGTAAAAATTTCATCCTTCCTTCTTCTTTGCAAAACTTTCGTGAAAAAATTTTTTTAAACAATTTTTCACCACAAAAAGTTCAAATGTTTATAACATATTAATTTTTCTCCAACTTGGACCATTTTGATTTTTTTTTTTTTTTTTTTCACAGTAAGGCCTTCAAATTCTTCTGATGAACATACTAAAGTTTCAGAATGGTATCAAAATTAGTTTTTGAGTTATAGAATTAAATAGCATTAAAAATTCATTTTATTGACCCTTACTATGCGCGCGCGAAGCGAATTGACGCTCGTTAGAGTCGTTGGTCGGCGCACGCCCTGAGACCGAGCGCGCGGACCGTGCATGATAATCTTTAAAATTCTGTAACTCAAAAACTAATTTTGATACCATTCTGAAACTTTAGTATGTTCATCAGAAGAATTTGAAGGCCTTACTGTGAAAAAAAAAAAATCAAAATGGTCCAAGTTGGAGAAAAATTAATTTGTTATAAACATTTGAACTTTTTGTGGTGAAAAATTGTTTAAAAAAATTTTTTTCACGAAAGTTTTGCAAAGAAGAAGGAAGGATGAAATTTTTACTTCCTATATATTTTTTTCCTG